CACGTACGCTCACAGAGACACACACGTACGCTCACAGAGACACACACGTACGCTCACAGACACACACGTACGCACGCAGAGACACACACGTACGCACGCAGACACACGTACGCACGCAGAGACACACACGTACGCATGCAGAGACACACACGTACGCACACAGAGACACACACGTACACACCCAGAGACACACACGTACGCTCACAGAGACACACACGTACGCTCACACAGACACACGTACGCACGCAGAGACACACACATACGCACGCAGAGACACAAACATACGCTCACAGAGACACACACGTACGCTCACAGAGACACACACGTACGCTCACAGAGACACACGTACGCACGCAGAGACACACACATACGCTCACAGAGATACACACGTACGCACGCAGAGACACGTACGCACGCAGAGACACGTACGCACGCAGAGACACGTACGCACGCAGACACACACACACGTACGCACACAGAGACACACACGTACGCACGCAGAGACACACACGTACGCACGCAGAGACACGCACGCAGACACACGTACGCACAGAGACACACACCTACGCACGCAGACACACGTACGCACACAGAGACACACACGTACGCACGCAGATACACGTACGCACACAGAGACACACACGTACGCACGCAGACACACGTACGCACACAGAGACACACGTACGCACGCAGAGACACACGTACACACACAGAGACACACACGTACGCACGCAGAGACACACGTACGCACGCAGAGACACACACGTACGCACGCAGAGACACGTACGCACGCAGAGACACACACGTATGCACGCAGAGACACACACGTACGCTCACAGAGACACACACGTACGCTCACAGAGACACACACGTACGCTCACAGAGACACACACGTACGCTCACAGACACACACGTACGCACGCAGAGACACACACGTACGCACGCAGACACACGTACGCACGCAGAGACACACACGTACGCATGCAGAGACACACACGTACGCACACAGAGACACACACGTACACACCCAGAGACACACATGTACGCTCACAGAGACACACACGTACGCTCACAGAGACACACACGTACGCTCACACAGACACACGTACGCACGCAGAGACACACACATACGCTCACAGAGACACACACGTACGCTCACAGAGACACACACGTACGCTCACAGAGACACACGTACGCACGCAAAGACACACACATACGCTCACAGAGATACACACGTACGCACGCAGACACACATATGCACGCAGAGACACACGTACGCACGCAGACACACGTACGCACGCAGAGACACACACGTACGCACGCAGAGACACACACGTACGCACGCAGAGACACGTACGCACGCAGACACACACACACGGCGGCACGGTGGCTGAGTGGATAGCACTCTCGCCTCTCAGCAAGAAGGTCCTGGGTTCGAATCCCGGTCGGACCAGGGCCTTTCTGTGTGGAGTTTGCATGTTCTCCCCGTGTCTGCGTAGGTTTCCTCCGGGTACTCCGGTTTCCCCTACCACTAAAAATATGTCCAATAGTTCTAGCATGCGCCTCCTGTGATGGCGACCGCGCTCCCATCTCTGTGTGGAGTGAGAGACAAATGCCCAAAAATTAACAATTGTAAACCGCTTTGAGACTCAGATCTGCAGTGAAAAGGCGGTATATAAATAAATACTTACTTACTTACACACGTACGCACACAGAGACACACACGTACGCACGCAGAGACACGTACGCACGCAGACACACACACATACGCTCACAGAGACACACGTACGCACACAGAGACACACACGTACGCACGCAGAGACACGTACGCACGCAGACACACACACATACGCTCACAGAGACACACGTACGCTCACAGAGACACACACGTACGCTCACAGAGACACACACGTACGCTCACAGAGACACACGTACGCACGCAGAGACACACACATACGCTCACAGAGACACACACGTACGCTCACAGAGACACACACGTACGCTCACAGAGACACACGTACGCACGCAGAGACACACACATACGCTCACAGAGATACACACGTACGCACGCAGACACACATATGCACGCAGAGACACACGTACGCACGCAGACACACGTACGCACGCAGAGACACACACGTACGCACGCAGAGACACACACGTACGCACGCAGAGACACGTACGCACGCAGACACACACACACGTACGCACACAGAGACACACACGTACGCACGCAGAGACACACACGTACGCACGCAGACACACGTACGCACAGAGACACACACCTACGCACGCAGACACACGTACGCACACAGAGACACACACGTACGCACGCAGATACACGTACGCACACAGAGACACACACGTACGCACGCAGACACACGTACGCACGCAGAGACACACGTACACACACAGAGACACACACGTACGCACGCAGAGACACACACGTACACACACAGAGACACACGTACGCACGCAGAGACACACACGTACGCACGCAGAGACACACACGTACGCACGCAGAGACACACGTACGCACGCAGAGACACACACGTACGCATGCAGAGACACACACGTACACACACAGAGACACACACGTACGCACGCAGAGACACACATACGCACGCAGAGACACACACGTACGCACGCAGAGACACACGTACGCACGCAGAGACACACACGTACGCATGCAGAGACACACACGTACGCACACAGAGACACACACGTACGCACGCAGAGACACACACGTACGCACGCAGACACACGTACGCACACAGAGACACACGCGTACGCACGCAGAGACACACGTACGCACGCAGAGACACACGTACGCACGCAGAGACACACGTACGCACGCAGAGACACACACGTACGCATGCAGAGACACACACGTACGCACACAGAGACACACACGTACGCACGCAGAGACACACACGTACGCACGCAGACACACGTACGCACACAGAAACACACACGTACGCACGCAGAGACACACACGTACGCACGCAGAGACACGTACGCACGCAGACACACACACACGGCGGCACGGTGGCTGAGTGGATAGCACTCTCGCCTCTCAGCAAGAAGGTCCTGGGTTCGAATCCCGGTCGGACCAGGGCCTTTCTGTGTGGAGTTTGCATGTTCTCCCCGTGTCTGCGTAGGTTTCCTCCGGGTACTCCGGTTTCCCCTACCACTAAAAATATGTCCAATAGTTCTAGCATGCGCCTCCTGTGATGGCGACCGCGCTCCCATCTCTGTGTGGAGTGAGAGACAAATGCCCAAAAATTAACAATTGTAAACCGCTTTGAGACTCAGATCTGCAGTGAAAAGGCGGTATATAAATAAATACTTACTTACTTACACACGTACGCACACAGAGACACACACGTACGCACGCAGACACACACACATACGCTCACAGAGACACACGTACGCTCACAGAGACACACACGTACGCTCACAGAGACACACACGTACGCTCACAGAGACACACGTACGCACGCAGAGACACACACATACGCTCACAGAGACACACACGTACGCTCACAGAGACACACACGTACGCTCACAGAGACACACGTACGCACGCAGAGACACACACATACGCTCACAGAGATACACACGTACGCACGCAGACACACATATGCACGCAGAGACACACGTACGCACGCAGACACACGTACGCACGCAGAGACACACACGTACGCACGCAGAGACACACACGTACGCACGCAGAGACACGTACGCACGCAGACACACACACACGTACGCACACAGAGACACACACGTACGCACGCAGAGACACACACGTACGCACGCAGACACACGTACGCACAGAGACACACACCTACGCACGCAGACACACGTACGCACACAGAGACACACACGTACGCACGCAGATACACGTACGCACACAGAGACACACACTACGTACGCACGCAGACACACGTACGCACGCAGAGACACACGTACACACACAGAGACACACACGTACGCACGCAGAGACACACACGTACACACACAGAGACACACGTACGCACGCAGAGACACACACGTACGCACGCAGAGACACACACGTACGCACGCAGAGACACACGTACGCACGCAGAGACACACACGTACGCATGCAGAGACACACACGTACACACACAGAGACACACACGTACGCACGCAGAGACACACATACGCACGCAGAGACACACACGTACGCACGCAGAGACACACGTACGCACGCAGAGACACACACACGTACGCATGCAGAGACACACATGTACGCACACAGAGACACACACGTACGCACGCAGAGACACACACGTACGCACGCAGACACACGTACGCACACAGAGACACACGCGTACGCACGCAGAGACACACGTACGCACGCAGAGACACACGTACGCACGCAGAGACACACGTACGCACGCAGAGACACACACGTACGCATGCAGAGACACACACGTACGCACACAGAGACACACACGTACGCACGCAGAGACACACACGTACGCACGCAGACACACGTACGCACACAGAAACACACACGTACGCACGCAGACACACGTACGCACGCAGAGACACACGTACGCACGCAGAGACACACGTACGCACGCAGAGACACACACATATGCACACAGAGACACGGCATGGAGGAGGGACTCTGTTGGGCCAAGTAAAAGTTCCTGTAAATGGTCCTGTGTGGGAGGGTCCTGTGAGGGAGGTTGCTTTGTGGGAGGGGCCTGTGTGGGAGGGGCCTGTGTGGGAGGGGCCTGTGGGGGAAGGGCCTGTGGGGGAGGTTCCTGTGGGGGAGGTTCCTGTGGGGGAGGTTCCTGTGGGGGAGGGTCCTGTGGGGGAGGGTCCTGCAGTGGAGACACACACCAACGGGGCTGTCCCTGGAAAAGAAGTTCCTGCGGTGGAAACGCGACAATAATGAAACCAGACTAAACCATGTGACGTGTTTTGCCCAATGATACAAAGGCAGATAACTCTTGTTTCTGTTGCAGGTGTTTGAGAAGGAACTGAACTCTTTCCACACGGATCCAGCTCTGCCAGAAACCCACCAACCAGGTCTGAACCAGTGGGGGAGGGTCCCAGCTCAAAAGTGGCCAAAATGACGTGCGCTGACATGCTGCAGTACCACCCCAGGCCTGTGGGGGTGGACCCGGAAGAAGAATTAGCCAATGCTAACATATAGCATTAGCAGACCTCTCAAAAACGTCTTTACAGGATGGACCAAAAGTTGGCTCTTGGCCCAAAGCTCCGTTCCACATGTGTGTCAATGCTGAGGGGGGTGGGTTTTATTGGTCCAGTCTAGTTTACTCACGGGGAATTTTTGAAGTCTCTCGTTCAAATGAATGGAGCTGCGCCGGCTGACGCATGCTCAGATGCGTTTTTTCACAATTTTCTTGTGGGCGGGACCACTCGCTGCCATTTTGGATAGGTCCAGTAGAGCACATTGAGCAAATTTGGCCCATTAGTTTGAACAGCGGAGATAGGCGTGACTACGTCCGTTAATATATACAGTCTATGGTCTGAACCAGGGATGTAAATCGGTGACCGTTTAACCGGTGGTTGACCGTCACAGCGTTAACCGGTCAAAGCTGTCGGTTAAAAAAAAGAAAAGGGGGAGGAGGGGACGTCTCTTAATAACGCTGTTTTAACCTCTTAAACTCCTACATCTGTTTTGGCTCGTGCACAAAAGTTTAACACACCCAAATGTCTTTGCTTATTTAAAAACACATCTTACATGTCACATGCTTGTGTGATGCATCATTGAGTGGCTGCATAGACTATGCAGCCACTATTATTTCTTCTTCTTCTTCTTCTTCTTCTTCTTCTTCTTCTTCTTCTTCCTCTTCTTCCTCTTCTTCCCCTTCTTCCTCTTCTTCCCCTTCTTCCCCTTATTCCTCTTCCGCTTCTTCCCTTTTCTTTCTTCTTCTTCCTTCTTCCCCTTCCTCTTCCTTCTTCATCCCTAACCCTTCCAACATCTATGCAGCCACTCACAATGGCTTCAGCCATTGTACCATTTCTAGTTTTAAAGCTAGGCCCTTCTAGTTTATGGAAATATACACTAAAATAATGTATGTCATTCCTATTACTCTGCATCCTTTGAAGTTTGGGAAAAAAACTTTTTAGCCTCGCCTAAAAAATTAAATGTATAAATGCCCTAAAAAAGCATACTTCATTGGAAGAAGAACATTTTCAACGCCAATTTGTTCATTGTGTTGTTGACAACAACTGTGTAAAGTTTCATAGTTTTTATGCAGTTTCTCTTTTGTATCAAGTAGTGCCATTCGGAACCAATTTGGCAAAATGTGTGCCAAATTGTGCCAAACTGCTTTATTAACATTTCACCATCATAAAAAGCATATTTTTTAGTTTTGGTACTTATAAGTTACAAATCTGTGTGATTTTCTTTTGCTTTTTTTCAAAATAATTTTTTTAGTAGTGTAAATGCATATAAAATATGCGCAGCAGTACTAACAGCGTCTTTACGCACGCTTTTACTGTGAAAATGAAAAGAGTTCCTACAAGTCCCACCCATCAAAAGAAAGCTCTTTTTATTGGCTACTTAAACACATCAATCATTCGGTGCTAGCTCATTGCGCTAGCCATGCTAATCAACAACAAGACAAAAACAGACCCTCTGCAAGTGGATGCGGTTCGTCTTTTTCACGAGGGTCCTGCGGACTGAAACCGTTTTTTTTTTGCAACAGAAAAATGCACATTGTTGAATTATTGCTGAAGAATGGATTATACTTTGGGAAATACAAGTGGATATTCTTTTTCAATGAAGACTTACGGAGAGAAAGAGACTGAGCAAGGATGGGGAAAGTCTAATTTGTTGGAGCAGCAGAAGACGAAAGGTAAAAAACACGATTTATTTTGTGCCCATATTATGCTTTATATCTTTTTAATGCAAAGTCTGATACTGTTTACACTTACATATAAATATAGCTGAGAAAATAAGCCACAAGCTATATATAATTTTAAAGCTTATGAAGTGCTATTGCCAGCAGATGTATTTTTTTTCTCGTTTGCCCCCGCCGGCGGGGGCTTGCGAGCTATTAAGCCCTACTTGCACAGTGTGACGAGCGGGTCCGTCTCTAGCTGTGTGCGCCAATGTATCAGTAAACTCTGGGCCGACTCTCACGCTAAAGTTGCACACTGGCGCAAGTCAGAACTACATTGGAGCTTACATTTACACACACACACACACACACCGGTCTGTCGCGCTCGTCTGTGTCACGGAGACCATGTTTGTGTTCATGGTCCTTACCATCAACTCCACACACATCACTGTATTTAAACTTTAGCAAAGACCTGTGAGACGCGGCTCGTCATTCGCTGCTCTGACCATGTGGACGTCACTCGCTGCTCTGACCATGTGGACGTCATTCGCTGCTCTGACCATGTGGACGTCACTCGCTGCTCTGACCATGTGGACGTCACGCTCTGCTCTGACCATGTGGACGTCATTCGCTGCTCTGACCATGTGGACGTCACTCGCTGCTCTGACCATGTGGACGTCACTCGCTGCTCTGACCATGTGGACGTCACGCTCTGCTCTGACCATGTGGACGTCATTCGCTGCTCTGACCATGTGGACGTCACTCGCTGCTCTGACCATGTGGACGTCACTCGCTGCTCTGACCATGTGGACGTCACTCACTGCTCTGACCATGTGGACGTCACTCGCTGCTCTGACCATGTGGACGTCACTCGCTGCTCTGACCATGTGGACGTCCCTCTCTGCTCTGACCATGTGGACGTCATTCGCTGCTCTGACCATGTGGACGTCACTCGCTGCTCTGACCATGTGGACGTCACTCGCTGCTCTGACCATGTGGACGTCACTCGCTGCTCTGACCATGTGGACGTCACTCGCTGCTCTGACCATGTGGACGTCACTCGCTGCTCTGACCATGTGGACGTCACTCGCTGCTCTGACCATGTGGACGTCCCTCTCTGCTCTGACCATGTGGACGTCATTCGCTGCTCTGACCATGTGGACGTCACTCGCTGCTCTGACCATGTGGACGTCACTCGCTGCTCTGACCATGTGGACGTCACTCGCTGCTCTGACCATGTGGACGTCATTCGCTGCTCTGACCATGTGGACGTCACTCGCTGCTCTGACCATGTGAACGAGCCGCTGTTTGCTGCTAAAACGTTTTGGTATTAACCCGCAGCACAGCAGAATGGGAAGATTAAAACAGCAGTTCTCTGTGCTCAAAGGTGCTGAAGCTGTTGTGGGTTTTGGCGCCGCTGTCTCGGTTCTGATCCAGTAGAACGCAGAGCTGTACGCGGCTCAAAATGGCTGTTATTTCAAAGAACCTGGGATTAACTACGCGGTTAACTGGTTTCAACCGGTTAATGAGACTCGGTGGTCGGTCATGAAAATTCACAGTTTTTTACATCCCTGAACCAGGACTGGACCAGGACTGTACCAAGAATGAACCAGGATTGATCAGGACTACTAGGACTGAACCAGGGAGAGACCAGAGAGAGACCCGAGAGAGAGACCCGAGAGAGAGACCCGAGAGAGAGACCAGAGAGAGACCAGAGAGAGAGACCAGAGAGAGAGACCAGAGAGAGACCAGAGAGAGAGACCAGAGAGAGAGACCAGAGAGAGAGACCAGAGAGAGACCAGAGAGAGAGACCAGAGAGAGAGACCAGAGAGAGAGACCAGAGAGAGAGACCAGAGAGAGAGACCAGAGAGAGAGACCAGAGAGAGACCAGAGAGAGAGACCAGAGAGAGAGAGACCAGAGAGAGACCAGAGAGAGAGACCAGAGAGAGAGAGACCCAAGAGAGAGACCCGAGAGAGAGAGACCCAAGAGAGAGACCCGAGAGAGAGAGACCCGAGAGAGAGAGACCAGAGAGAGAGAGACCCGAGAGAGAGAGAGAGACCCGAGAGAGAGACCAGAGAGAGACCAGAGAGAGAGACCAGAGAGAGAGACCAGAGAGAGAGACCAGAGAGAGACCAGAGAGAGAGAGACCCGAGAAAGAGAGACCAGAGAGAGAGAGACCCGAGAGAGAGACCCGAGAGAGAGAGACCCGAGAGAGAGAGACCCGAGAGAGAGAGACCCGAGAGAGAGACCCGAGAGAGAGAGACCAGAGAAAAACATATTAAACTCACAGCTAATACAATAAAGTATAATTTACATAACTTCAAACAAATCAGGCCTTTTATGACAATCAATTCAGCAAAAATGTTCCTACACGCAATGATTTTCTCACACATAGATTATTGTATCACAACCTGGTCACTCACTGGACAAACACATATCAAATCCATAGAAACCCTCTTCAAAAAGTCCATTCAAATTCTGGATCAAAAGCCTTGGTCACATCATCACTGCAATATCCTGGAGAAACACAAAAAATAAATACGAGAGAGACCAGAGAGAGAGCTATAAGACTTTACTTTAGTTCTGTCTAAACTGTTTTCTCTGCACAGTGGAGGACAGGGAGTGGAGCTCAGGTCCCTCGTCCCCTGGTCCCTCGTCCCCTGGTCCCTCGTCCCCTGGTCCCTCCTCCTCTGGTCTCTCCTCCTCTGGTGCCTCCTCCTCTGGTCCATGTCTCCGTCTGCAGAGCTTTTGTCCTCAGAGTGTCGCTGAAGCTGAGACCTGGATCTTGTCTCTGCTTCACAACAGCCTCGACACAATCTGCATCAACAACAACTTCATACAACACTTTACTGAGAGAGACCTGGAGGATCTGAGCCAGCTGGAGGTGACACATACAGAGACACACACAGACACAGACACACAGAGACACACACACACACACACACACAGAGAGACACACACGCACACACACAGAGACACACACGCAGAGACATACACACACACACAGACACACACTCACAGAGACACACACGTGTGTTGTTGAAGTATGTGTGTTGCTGAGGTGTGTGTGTGTGTTGCAGGTCCATGTTGTGTTGGACGAGTTCCTGGTCAGAGGTCGCTCTGGTTTTGTTGTGACGTCAGAGAACAGCGATGACCTCATCGTCGCCGCGTTGTGCCTCGAGCACAAGATCCAGGAAGTGACCCGAGCGTACGTGAAGGAGGCGGGGCTTAGGGGGCGGGGCCACAGGAGGCCCATCTCCATCGCCGACCCACAGATCCGACTCGTACACCAGCAGCTGAAGGGTCTTGGCTTTGAGGTCGTCAAGGTAACAACTTTTACAACAAACACAGGTTTCTCTAGTGGTGGAAGAGTGGGACTGCAGGCAGCCTGTGTCATGGTACCATGTGTGATGGTACCATGTGACTGACCAGGCTAAAGCTTCAGACCTCCTCTCTCCTCCTCTCCGTCCTCCTCTCTCTCCCCTCCTCTCTTCCTCCCTCTCTCCTCAGGCAGAGCAGGTGGAGAACTCTGTCCTGGAGGAGCAGTACGATGTGCTAAAGGCCCAGATGGTCTCCCGTCCTCCGCAGACGCTGCTGCAGCTGGTGTCTGCGCAGTTCTGTGATGTCATCGCAGACCTTGGCTTCAGACCCGAGTGTGCGCCACCTGATGGTACGTACCAGGAATGAACCAGGACTGAACCAGACCAGGACTGTGAACCAGGACTGATCTGAGCTAAAGTGCCCTGTCCTCTTCGGTCCTCAGACCCGTTCCTGGGACTCGGTCTGTACTTCACCTCTGATGTCTCTGGAGCCCTGACCCTGTGGACGGACCGGAGAGACCGCTTCCTCTACCTGTGTGTGGGGGAGGTGCTGACAGGCCGCTCTGGACCTGGCAGGTCTGGACTGGTCCTGGGAACTGGTCTGGACTCTGTGGAGGGCTCTGGGGTCTCGGTGGTCTTCAGTCCACTGCAGGCGCTACCTCGGTTCATCCTGACCTGCTGCAATGTCACCGAGACCAGTGTGTGAGACCAGGACCAGACCAGGACTAAATCAGGACTAAGTCAGGACACAGGTCCAAGGCTGTTTTCAGTGATAATGTTGATTTCTTTGGGTTGATTTTTCTAAATGTTTGTATGTGAAGATGATTTTGTGTCTTTTCCTTTAACATCAGATCAAAGTTGTTTCATTAAACTTTCTCAGGAACAAAGTCTGTTTTCTACAAACACGTTTATTATGATTGTCTCACATTCTGTGAAAACACAAAACACATAAAACACATGAAACAGACTACTGTCCTTCTGTGAGCACATTTTCAACCCTGTTCTCAGCTGGTTTGTCAAGTCTGGGTCTGGTCCGGGTTCGGGTCTCACTCGGTGCTCTCTGGGACCTCGGTCCCGTCCACGATGAGGGAGTGGATGATGCCGTCTCTGCGTTTGCCGCTGCTCACGGCTTTGATGCAGCAAAGATGATCGTTCAGAGTGAAGTGCGTCTCTGTGCCGTCCTCCACAAACTCCCCCTGAAACACACTCAGGCTGAAGACCTGCACCACACTCAGGCTGAAGACCTGCACCACACTCAGACTGAAGACCTGCACCACACTCAGACTGAAGACCTGCACCACACTCAGGCTGAAGACCTGCACCACACTCTGAAGACCTGCACCACACTCAGGCTGAAGACCTGCACCACACTCTGAAGACCTGCACCACACTCAGACTGAAGACCTGCACCACACTCAGGCTGAAGACCTGCACCACACTCTGAAGACCTGCACCACACTCAGGCTGAAGACCTGCACCACACTCAGGCTGAAGACCTGCACCACACTCAGGCTCAAGACCTGCACCACACTCAGGCTGAAGACCTGCACCACACTCTGAAGACCTGCACCACACTCAGGATGAAGACCTGCACCACACTCAGGATGAAGACCTGCACCACTCTCAGGCTGAAGACCTGCACCACTCTCAGGCTGAAGACCTGCACCACACTCAAGCTGAAGACCTGCACCACTCTCAGGATGAAGACCTGCGCCACACTCAGGCTGAAGACCTGCACCACACTCAGGCTGAAGACCTGCACCACACTCAGGCTGAAGACCTGCACCACACTCAGGCTGAAGACCTGCACCACACTCAGGCTGAAGACCTGCACCACACTCAGGCTGAAGACCTGCACCACACTCTGAAGACCTGCACCACACTCTGAAGACCTGCACCACACTCTGAAGACCTGCACCACACTCAGGCTGAAGACCTGCACCACACTCAGGCTGAAGACCTGCACCACACTCTGAAGACCTGCACCACACTCAGGATGAAGACCTGCACCACACTCAGGCTGAAGACCTGTACCACACTCAGGATGAAGACCTGCACCACTCTCAGGCTGAAGACCTGCACCACTCTCAGGCTGAAGACCTGCACCACACTCAAGCTGAAGACCTGCACCACTCTCAGGATGAAGACCTGCACCACACTCAGGATGAAGACCTGCACCACACTCAGGATGAAGACCTGCACCACTCTCAGGCTGAAGACCTGCACCACTCTCAGGCTGAAGACCTGCACCACACTCAAGCTGAAGACCTGCACCACTCTCAGGATGAAGACCTGCACCACACTCAGGCTGAAGACCTGCACCACACTCAGGCTGAAGACCTGCACCACACTCAGGCTGAAGACCTGCACCACACTCAGGCTGAGGACCTGCACCACTCTCAGGCTGAAGACCTGCACCACTCAGGCTGAAGACCTGCACCACTCAGGCTGAAGACCTGCACCACACTCAGGCTGAGAACCTGCACCACACTCAGGCTGAAGACCTGCACCACACTCAGGATGAAGACCTGAGTGCTTGTAGAAGGAACAGAACAGAACTTCATGAACTCACTGCAGTCTCGATGTTCTGACCGTTGCACCACACGTCCATCGTGTCCTTTTCTGAAACAAAAAAATTCATTTAAACATTTAATCACCACAGTGTGACATCACCACAGTGTGACATCACCACAGAGTGACATCACCACAGAGTGACATCACCACAGTGTGACATCACCACAGAGTGACATCACCACAGAGTGACATCACCTCAGTGTGACATCACCACAGTGTGACATCACCTCAGTGTGACATCACCTCAGTGACACTGTAACAGGGAAACTCCACAGATCTGACCTAACACCACCCTGAGGTCGGTCCCCTCCAGGTTCAGGACCCAGGTGGAGCTGGTCCTGGACCTGTTCTCCAGGTGCTTCTTGAGGCTCTTCCCGTTGATCTCCAGAGTGTACTCGTAGGAGAAACCACTGACGGCGTCGATGGAGATGGAGGCTCTGGTCCCACCGCGGCCCACAGAGAAACTCTCCTTCCCCACCAGCTTGAACATCCAGTCCCTCCTCAGGATCTCCTACAGAGAGAGACCAGAGAGATACAGGGAGAGACCAGAGAGAGACCAAAGAGATACAGAGAGAGAGACCGGAGAGAGACCGGAGAGAGACCAGAGAGAGATCAGAGAGAGACCAGAGAGATACAGGGAGAGACCAGAGAGATACAGGGAGAGACCAGAGAGATACAGGGAGAGACCAGAGAGATACAGGGAGAGACCAGAGAGAGACAGGGAGAGACCAGAGAGAGACAGGGAGAGACCAGAGAGATACAGAGAGACCGGAGAGAGACCAGAGAGAGACCGGAGAGAGACCAGAGAGAGACAGGGAGAGACCAGAGAGATACAGAGAGAGACCGGAGAGAGACCAGAGAGAGACCAGAGAGAGACCAGAGAGATACAGAGAGAGACCAGAGAGATACAGGGAGAGACCAGAGAGAGACCAGAGAGAGACAGGGAGAGACCAGAGAGATACAGAGAGAGACCGGAGAGAGACCAGAGAGAGACCAGAGAGACCAGAGAGAGACAGGGAGAGACCAGAGAGATACAGAGAGAGACCGGAGAGAGACCGGAGAGAGACCAGAGAGAGACCAGAGAGGGACCGGAGAGAGACCAGAGAGAGACCGGAGAGAGACCAGAGAGAGACAGGGAGAGACCAGAGAGAGACCAGAGAGAGACCAGAGAGAGACCAGAGAGATACAGGGAGAGACAGGGAGAGACCAGAGGGATACAGAGAGAGAGACTCACACACAGAGACAGACACCAGAAGTAAAGATGAGACTGAGAAAAGTCTCTATCATCCCGGGTTCTAGCAGCGCTCACCTTCCCGTCCACGTAGATGACACGTTTACCGGTTGTGGTCCCGTGTTCAAACTCAATGGTGTGAACTCTGTCACTCAGAGCCACCTCCCACACAGCAGCCAGGTCAGCAGACATGACTGAGAGACCAGAGAGAGAGCCAGCCGGGCCACTGAAAAAAGCAAGGCATGGGATTATTCTCGAACATGACAGGGCAACATAGTTTCAAGAATTAATATTGCATCTTTGGTCAATTTTAGCTGGGGTATGTAACTTTAGGACAATTTCTGTTTATCAGACTAAAGTGAAATTTTGTGAACAAATCAGACACAACATGCAGTCTTCATTTTCATGTCGTCTTTTGTATATGACATTTGCCTCTTTGGGCTGAAAGCTGATTGGCTGAGTGAGGGAGGTCCTCTCTTTGATATTAAAAACATGAAACTAGAAACAGAAGAAACTGCTTTAATAGATTTCTATTGTTGCAGTCTGAACCCAGATAGCAAAAGGACATCGTTTCAACATTGATTTAGGGTCAGATGGTTGACTTTTGGTTGAGGTTGAAAGAAAAATGTTGATTCAATGTTTTATTACAGATAATAAATCAATAATTAAAAAAAGAATGTTGAATCAACACTATTTTATGGACATAAGTTCAACCATTGAAAGTGTAACATTGAATCAACCTTATTTTACAGATGGAAATTTAACCATTAAAAGTGTAACATTGAATCAACCTTATTTTACAGATGGAAATTTAACCATTAAAAGTGTAACATTGAATCAACCTTATTTTACAGATGGAAATTTAACCATTGAAAGTGTAACATTGAATCAACCTTATTTTACAGATGGAAATTTAACCATTGAAAGTGTAACATTGAATCAACCTTAAATTACAGATGGAATTTTAACCATTGAAAGTGTAACATTGAATCACTGTTAAAAATCGGTTGTATATTTTTTTTGGTTGAAAAATTCCCAATAAATCAATGTTGTTTCGATATAAGGACTACAAGCCCGGGAGATTTTAGTTAAGTGTACAGCGCCCCTGCATCTCGGAGACGGAGACGAAAGTCAGAACTGGTAAGTGCTCATCGCTTCTAAACTTAAATCATCGTCTTGGGTGTGATCAGTGAGCTAATAAATAGAATGTAAGGTGTTGCTTTAGGCTATGTTATGCTATTTTCTTAGTAGTTTGTCAGAAGCTGATGTGTAACCAACATTATGCCAAGCTAACGTTAAACTTTGCCACCAAAAAAGCTCAGTTTAAGGGGCTGTTTTTAGCTGCTTACAATTCCTCAGCACCCGGTTGATAAGGGAACAAGGATGGTATTAAGGTTGTGTTATGCAAATGGGTTTTATTAGGTAGTTAATAATTCGCTGCTTAGTTTAACAATAACTTTCCCCACACAATAGAGGGGGCTAAAGCACTTCGGTAAAGCCACGATCTATGATTAGCACACTGCGATTTATAAGGTTAAAGTTGAATAGCCTATAATGTAAAATAAAAAAAATGTCATGGTAAGACACAAGGGGTAATGCCAATTAAATATTTATTTGTGAGTAAATACAGCATTTCACATACACTTCATTTGTACTAGTCATTCACTGTCAGACAGAAAAATCAAAAAGCATTAAAACCAAATCTAAAAGCTTTAATAATGATTTCCATTTCTCTTTTACAGAAGTCCCAAGTTGATATCACGAACAACAAAGCAATCAAGTAATGCAATTTTTACAGCACCATCTCAAATGCAATTAGGATGTCTTCATATTGTGTGTTCTAAAATGATCTGTTCTGTTCTTTCTTTCTTTTTTTTAAAGAAATGCACTACTGTCTGGCAATATATCAATTTGTTAGGGTCATTTATTTATTATTGAATGAATTGTGAAATAAAGGCCTTAAATGTAATTAAAACGCATTAAAATGTATTCCAACAGGCATTAATTGTACATATCTTTGAAAATAGTGATGTTATATAACTGTGTTACTGCAAATATTCATTGAAAATACAAAAAAATAAGCTCCAAAACACACTGAACTCCAGTTTTGAATGAAATTGAACACATTTTTTGGCACAAATTGCTCGTTGTGTATAATTCCGTTAAATATTGAAAATGATGCTGTGTACCAGTGTTCCTCGTGACACTAACCAAATCTGCACCACTTCTACAAACGTTTTATTGCTACACTACAATTACCTGGAAAGCCTTAATTATGATGGCCCTGTAAATAAGTACTTTTATGAAACAAAGTATTATACAGTGGTTACATTGTGTTGGCAACAAATTGAGGGAATATATATTCGCATTGAGTAACCTTGTGTTTGAAATGCGGTATAAATTAACATTGACTTGCCTATAATTCATACATTCTTGACTGGATCCTGGGGAGATATGTATTTATTTATTTTACTTTTATAGTTTTACACTTAAAACCTACCCCAATATATCACCATAAGCAATGGGTTTTCTATTTATTTTTGTGGTATTTGGTCAAAACTCAATCTCCTGTCTCTTCTCCATGTCTCATGTGCTTCTGCTCCAAATGCTTTTTGTTTGTTTGTTTTTAATTTACTGTACATTCTTCATGGAGGCAGGTTATTGTTTTTTTTACTATATTTATTCATGGAAGCAAAAGTGCTGAAGTGCTGGGCTGTACGTGTTTCGTAATGCAAAAAAACAAAAAAGATGTAACTTATGCTGTAATACCTGTCTTGGGACTGCAGGAGGCACTGTCACGCTATAGGCACCAAATAACGATTTAAATGGGGCATGCGCAGTAAAATTTTGTAATGTAAATACCTTGGTAAACTTGTCATTCTGAGTGCTATATGGATGCGTAATGTAAACAAACAACAGGAGGAGATGGATTATGCCTCAGATCCATATTGGACTGGTTATGCCTGTGTAAATGACTCAACATGATGACCGCGGTGAATGTTTAGTGGTTGATTTAGGTGGTGACGCGGTAAGTAAATCCAATAATCAAAATATAGTTTAAAAAAGGTTGAATATAGGCATATTTCAATCGTTTAATCAATGTTGAATCCATGTTTAAAAAACATTTGAATTTCGACATCTATTCAACTCCTAATCAATGTTATTTGCATGACATTGATTCCATGTCAGAAAAGATCAAAAATCAACGTTGTGTTCGACATCTATCATATCGAGCGCTTTCAATCGCAGTTCAACGTCATTTTTCAACATCTATTCAATCACAGGCCATAACACTATTTAAATGTTGAAACGATGTCCTTTTGCTATCTGGGTGAAAGATACGTACCCCAGCTTTAATGGTCCATACACGTTAATATTGACAATTGATAATACAGGGGTATATACAGACACTTTTATGGAAACAGCAGGATTGTAAACTATCACTTCAGTGACTCAGGTTCAGGTTTTGTCCATTTTAAAGTTAATTTCTAAATGAAATGACCGATACACGCGTGAAGCCCGCGGTGGTGAGACCGAGCTTCCGGTTTAACACAATAAAAGCGACAGAACTTGAACAGATTCGTCCTGAACATATTAATAAAAAACAGTTGTAATATAATATCAGTAACATAGAGCAGCCCTGACGCTGCTAATGTCCTAAATTTACTCAAACACATAAACATTACGTTAAACTTTACTGTTTGAAAAGGCAACCGGAAGTAGCCTGAGAGTGACACAGCGCTGACTTGATCCGCTCCGTTCTTTGACACAAACGTGACCATTTCTCTTAAATTCGGTGTAAAAACCTGATTATTGTAGATTCCTGTGGTTCCTCCGGAGGCAGCGGTGGAGAACTGGGCTGTGTACTGGCTCCAAGGCGCTGTTTCGCTGCGGGAAACAGCGCTGAGTCCCGGCTTTTGCGCCTTTAGCCGCGTTAGCTTCTATTAGCTGCTGTTGCTAACGGACTGAAGCCGTTACCGTGGCAACGGCAGCGTGCGTCACCGGTCACGCCTCCTTCATCGCAGATGTAAACAATCGGATTTTTATTATAATTTTTTAAAGTGTATTCGTTCCATATTTGAAGTGTAATCATAATTATGCATAATACAAATTATTAAGGAGATATGGACGCAGCCGAACCACAGACGGGTGTCAGAGCTAATCCTGATTAAAGCAAAGCAGCCGAATCTCCCAGAGCCGTCATTTGGACTGCTCCCAATCTAACCAGTGGAATTCTGGAAAATACTTCAGTAAATCAACTAAAAGTTTATTCATTACTCTCTTTTAACACAAGAATTGAGCAGTCAATGTGACGGCAATTTCTGCTTATGTAAGTTTTTGTCTTCATATCTATGTGACATGTTCAGATTCTATTTGTGGTTTGACTGCTCTGGGAGTTCTGGTGTTAAACCAGTGTTTCTCTAAAAACTTTACACCTTTATTCCTCCAGGTGAGCCCTCTCCCCATTTGTACGTGCTATATACATTTATTTATATAGCACGCTGGAGACCACACAGACAGCCACACTTTGTCCATCTACAGTTTAATACGTGTCCGTTACAAGAGTGAAGTTTCTACTGAATAAAAACGACGGTACAAAAAAATGGGAATGTTTCAGCTACAGTAAAATGTCCACATTAAAAGCAGCTTTCAAAATAAAACATAAGACATTTACTTTGAAACACGGACGCTTCAAACTCAGGGAATCTACAGACTGGACAACAACTGAGAGAGTTTAGACTTTAGCTATAGAGGGATGAGCAAATGATGTGAGAGAGGGGGAGAGGAAGGAGAGAGAGGGAGGAGGAGAGAGAGGGAGGAGGAGACCTTTATAAGAAATACTTGGAACATTGTTGATATGCATCGACAGCTCCATCTCTCCCACCGACTCGTCAGACCGAGAATGTGGTTCAGAAATGTGCAGAAAACACAATCCAGTGACGACAAACTCCAGTGAACATTCATTATTATAGACATAGTGGTTTGGTCCAGTGCTCGAGTCCCTCGCCTCATGCTGCGGGTCTTCACTCCAACAGCAGCAGAGACAGCTTCATAGAACTGTAGTACAACAACAGTTACCTTTAATGTCACAGGGAAAACAGTGGTCTGCACCGCGGAGATGAGTTCAGAGACCACGGTCTTCCAGTGGTCTTATCCAGGTCCTGGGTCTTGTCTGGGTCCAGTCTTGTCTTGGATCTGGTCCAGTATCAAACCCACACCCAGCATTCAGGATCAGTGTTTACAGAGGTATAAAAGAAGACGATGACGTTTGAGAATCCGCAGCAGAAAACACTGCATCAGATCATTATGTGACCAGTGTAAAACTATGGATCTGAGACAGAAGCAGGCGATGGTTCCCTTTGGGCACAGAACTCATGTCTGTCACCACAGAACTCACATGGTCCCATAGTCACATGGTCCATGAACTAGAGTGAAAAACCTCACTTTAAAATCAGTGTAAAAATCTAAAATGTTTTTTATAAAAGTGACTTCAAATCTTCACATGAACCGAACAGTCCTTCATGTGCTCAGGAGTTATAGTCCAGACCTGGTCCTGACCTGGTCCTGACCTGGTCCTGACCTGGTCCTGACCTGGTCCTGACCTGGTCCTGACCTGGTCCAGAGCGGATCACAGCTCGGTGGTCAGCAGACCTCTGGGTTTGGACTCTTCTTCAGCCGGAGACGCAGAGCTTAAGAAAGAAAGATGAATAAACAAAAGTTAACAGACCAGGAGGACCGACCAGGGGGACAGACCAGGGGGACAGACCAGGGGGACAGACCAGGGGGACAGAGGTCAGAGGTCAGGAGGGGGACTGTGTGAGGAGCAGAACCCTGACCTGTTGTTGTTGGAGCGCGTCACTGCAGCCTCCGCACACAGGGGGGCGCTCTTACACTCTGGCTCCAGGCCGTTACTGAAGATCCCTGGAGGCTGAAACAACAGGACATAATGAGTCTGTGCGTGTGAGAGTGCGTGTGCGTGTGAGAGTGCGTGTGCGTGTGAGAGTGCGTGTGTCTGTGTGTGTTACCGCGCTGGCGGGGATGATCCATCGTGGTGTGAGGACAGTTTTAATCTGGACTGGAGCGACCTGTGGAGCCAACTGTAAAACAGAGTCAAGCTTTAATATGAAGGAGTGAAACCAGTGGAATCAGAGAGAAGTGTGTGTGCGTGTGTGTATGTGTGTGTGTATGTGTGTGCGTGTGTCTCTCTCACGGCTGCGGTATCTGTGAAGTCGATCAGGTTTTCGGACACTGAGAGCTGGACGCCCTCTGGACACACCTGAACACACACAGATTACACCCTGGAGCAGACTGACACAAGTGAGGCCGGGACAATCCACAAACACTCCATACCTGAGGGAGCAGCGTCTCTATGCTGAGCTCCATTGGGACACACAGGTCCTCAGCCACTCGCTCCACACTGTTGGAGACGAGAAGAGTTTAACAGAGAGGTGTGTGTGCGCGTGCGTGTGTGTGTGCATGTGTGTGTGTGTTTGTGTGCGTGCGTGCGGTACCTTGGCGTCTCCTGCAGGTGACAGTTCTTGTCTGTCACAGTCTGGTCCTCGACAGACGTCGGTGGGACACACACCTGATGACAGACCAGAAATATGAGAGACCAGAGATGGACCAGTGAAAGAGAGAGAGTCCAGAGAGAGAGAGACCAGAGAGAGAGAGAGTCCAGAGAGAGAGAGACCATCAAGAGAGACCAGAGCAGCAGCAGTACCTTGACAGCCTGTGCTTCAGCCTGGGCCTTCAGGATGTTGCTCTTCAGGTTGTCAGGGGTCCTCACTGTGTCGGGGGTCCTCAGGGGGGACAGGACCACCTTCTCTGTGAGCTTCACCAACTCCTGAGGACAACACACAACCATGAACATCTCTCTGGCCTCCCACTCTCTGGCCTCTCACTCTCTGGCCTCTCACTCTCTGGCCTCTCACTCTCTGGCCTCTCACTCTCTGGCCTCTCACTCTCTGGCCTCTCACTCTCTGGCCTCTCACTCTCTGGCCTCTCACTCTCTGGCCTCTCACTCTCTGGCCTCTCACTCTCTGGCCTCTCACTCTCTGGCATCTCACTCTCTGGCATCTCACTCTCTGGCCTCTCACTCTCTGGTCTCTCACTCTCTGGTCTCTCACTCTCTGGTCTCTCACTCTCTGGTCTCTCACTCTCTGGTCTCTCACTCTCTGGTCTCTCACTCTCTGGTCTCTCACTCTCTGGTCTCTCACTCTCTGGTCTCTCACTCTCTGGTCTCTCACTCTCTGGTCTCTCACTCTCTGGTCTCTCACTCTCTGGTCTCTCACTCTCTGGCCTCCCACTCTCTGGTCTCTCACTCTCTGGTCTCTCACTCTCTGGTCTCTCACTCTCTGGTCTCTCACTCTCTGGTCTCTCACTCTCTGGTCTCACCTGGTTGTTCATGGCGACGTTGAGGTTGACATTTTTAGGCGTCAGTGAAACAGACGCAGTCTCCAACTCCAGCTCTTTGAGACGCGCTGCAGCTTCTGGACACAGAGGTCATAGGTCAGTGTAAGTGGGCGGGGCTCTGGATCCCTCTGTCTCTCTATCATTCAACGCCAATTCAAATATTTATATGCCCCAGTAGCTCCCTCTTGCTCTCCACAGAGCAGACCTAGCTGGAACCTCTCACCGCTCAGACTGAGGGGCTGGTCTCCCCCCACAGCACCCTCCTCTGGGAGCTCAGAGGTCACTGCGGCTGAAGCTGAGTCAGGGGCCCCAAGGGCCTCGTCCAGACAGGTCTCCATCAGCTCCGGGACTCTGCGGAAACAAGGACGTCAGCTACAAACAGGAACCAGAGGAGACACTGAGACACACACACACACACATACTGTACTTACTGAGACACACACACATACTGTACTTACTGAGACACACACACACACACACACTGTACTTACTGAGGGAACGATGACCACCCAGGGGTGTTCCCCAGGGGTCTACGTTAAGACCGAAGCCATTCTAAGGTATCCGATTCGTCTCAGGTCTCAAAATGACAAATCGTTACGGGTCGACAGATCTCACAGACTCAAGACGCCTAAGACCTGTCCATATTGATGCAGCTAAGTTTGAGGCCATGAGAGCTTTTACTTTGATAAAAAAAGTGTATGGAATATTGTGATTCACCTAAAGTTCTGTGCTCTGAAAAATTGGGGGTTCCCACGGAACATAAACAAGAGAATTTAAACCAAAACGCCCTTTTCTAACACATTCAGCATTTAGCCCCGACTGCATCCAGCCAGTGCTTGCGGTGTTCCTCAAGGGTCAATTCTCAGACCAATGCCGTTACAACAGTACAGCCTATTCTGGGTCCAACATGTCCTGGGTCCAGTCCTGGTTCGATTCCAGGTCCTAGTCCAGTCCTGGTCCGGCTCAGGTCCTGGTCAAGTCTCACTGAACACAAACATCAGTCTGTAATATGCCCCTTGCAGTTTCTCATAACTTCTATCTCTCCTAGAAGCGCGTTGCCTCTGGGCACAAAGGCAGAGTTCATAAAGACAAATTCCAGAGCGATAAAGCAGCTCAGCTTCAGTCTTTATTGGACCCAGTGAGAAATCAGCAGAGTGAAAATTAAATAAATAAAAGATGCAATGAGAATATATATAGCAGTGATGATTGGATTACGCTGTTGAATATCCCTCTGGTCTCTCTCTCTCTGGTCTCTCTCTCTGGTCTCTCTCTCTGGTCTCTCTCTCTGGTCTCTCTCTCTGGTCTCTCTCTCTGGTCTCTCTCTCTGGTCTCTCTCTCTGGTCTCTCTCTCTGGTCTCTCTCTCTGGTCTCTCTCTCTGGTCTCTCTCTCTGGTCTCTCTCTCTGGTCTCTCTCTCTGGTCTCTCTCTCTGGTCTCTCTCTCTGGTCTCTCTCTCTGGTCTCTCTCTCTGGTCTCTCTCTCTGGTCTCTCTTTCTGGTCTCTCTCTGGTCTCGTGTTCTGATTAGTGCTTATACAAAAAGAATAAATATGACTGCTGCTACATCTGCATTTGACCCATTCTTTAAAAGCCAGCAGAGCAGACACAGGCAGAACATGCAAACACGGTCCATGAGACACAGGATCCTTCAGCTTCAGGATCAGAAAAGTGTCATGGCTCAAAGGCACGTCCACAGTCTGCAGTCCTCACAGTGAGCAGGGGGGGCGCTGCAGGCAGAGCACATCTCAGCACCACAAACACAAACGCAACCGGCTGACGTGATTGGCTTATGCAGCAGTCCTCTGATTGGTTTAAGCCGCACTCTTCTCTGATTGGTTTAAGCAGCACTCTTCTCTGATTGGTTGAAGACACAAATCATGCGGAAATTGCAGTTAAAGAAGACGTAGTGTGCTCGTCAGGGCAAGGTTCTTGCCAGGATTTTTCGCAGCGTTGGAGCCATTCCCCCCAACCAGAGAGAGAGAGAGAGAGAGACAGACCGAGAAAGATGGGAGACAGAGAGAGACAGAAACAGAGAGCAAGAAACACAGAGAGAGAGAATGAGAGGGAGACAGAGAGAAACAGAGATAGAGAGTGAGAGATGTTACAGTGAGTTACAAGTGAGGACCTGTGTCACTTACAGACCTCAGTGAGAAACACAGTACGTCTCCTTTAAGCCCCATCACCAAAGCCCCCACAGCTCTCACCCACGGGAGACAAACCCAGAGTCTCCCACAGAGTCTCACCCTCTGCTCCTCAGGCCGACGCACACACATTCGGAACAATTGTAAAGCGCTTTGGGTGACCTTGGTCTGTCAAATGCTCTATATAAAAAAACCTTACTTAGTTACTTACACACGGTTTAAAACAAATATTCTATTTCAATTCAGTTCACTTTGTGTTTGTTCAGCCCTACATCACAACAGTAGTTATGTCTCTAGCCTCCTCTAGGCTCCTGCAGGTTTGCCTTTAATATTATTGTAAATCCAGGTATGAGCCATGTCATGTATTGCATCTGTCCACGCCGTAAAGCTAACACCGTGTCCATATAAGGAAAGTGATTGATTGTATTCATTCCAGCAGAAATGATACATTAATTATTTACATTTACATTCCTTGGTCTATGGAGATACTTCAGTACATGATGCTAACTGTTCTTACAGTTTATACGAACATATGA